TCTGAAGTTTAATTATCGCATTTTACTTTCAAGGTAAACTATTCTTCGTAGAAAAACGGAAACCTAAAATTTTCTTATTCAAAAATGTGATGTATAGAGCAATAATTAGAAATCGTCTCACTTTGGTAATTAATGTCAAATTTCATCAGTAACCGACCACTGATTCTTTTGGTGGGAGTATGTCGCCTGCGTCTCTAAACCCTGACCCTATTTTAAACCCCAAAAATCTATTTTTTCAGTCCTCTTTTTTTAAGTTGAATTTGACAGATTTCAGACGTTTGAATCAAATGCCGTATTTAACTATTCTCAGCAGTCGTACCTCGCGCGTATAAGAGGCAGAGTAGACAAAGGAGTTATGCCATTCTCTCGAAGCTGCTGAGCTGTTCAGATTACCATGGCTGACCCGCAGGTCCCTGCAGATGCAGTCCAACAAGCTCAAGTTGTCTTACAAAAGCAGCTGAACAAGCTCAAGCACCAGTAGCGCCAGAGGAACAAGCTCAACCGCCTGCACAAGCCCCAGTGCAAGCAAACAAAGTTTCATTGGAGGTTTGTGAAACTTTATTTTATCCGTTCATTGCCACGTGTTTCGTTCTGGTTCTCTAGTCTTTCGCTTCCAAACCTTGTAGGTTGTTTGCCCTACGCGAGCTGTTTTTCATTTCCACTTAGTATATTATTTGCCCTGCTTCTTAACATTTGCCCGCTTTTCTACAGGCTGTGCGGGCTAAATTTTGTTGGATATATTATTCGCCTGCTTCTTAACGGTTTTCGTTTTGTATGGGCTGTGCGGCTAAATTTTTGTCTGATATATTATATGCCCTTTTTAACGTTATTCTCAAGTATGTGGGCTGTTCGGCTAAATTTTGTCTGATATATTATTTGCCCTGCTCTTAACTTTTGCCTCGTTTCGTGTGGGCTGTGTGGGCTACATTTTGTTTGATAAATTATTTGCCCTGCTTTTAACGTTTCACCCTCGCTTTATGTGGGCTGTCAGGGCTAAATTTTTATTTGTATATTCGTTCTGCTTCTAAAAAGTTTACCTTCGTTTCGTGTGGGCTAGCGGTATATAATTTTGTTTTGTTTTACCGACACACTGTATTTAAATTGTTTTAAAGTTTACCCTCGTTTTGTGAACTCAGCCGGACTAAATCTTGTTTTGCATATTACTTGCCCTGCTTTTAACGCTTTACCCTCTTTTTAGTGGGGCTGTGCGAGTTAAAACTTTGTTTGCAAAAATATTCGCCCTGCTTTTTAACGCGTTTGCCCTCGTTTCGTGTGAGCTAAAGTAGCCTATTTTGTTTTGTATATTCGGCCGTTATAAACTATTTTCCCTTATGTGGGCCTCATGGCTACAATTTTTGTTTGGTTTGTTTTTTCGCCTGATTCTCAACCTTGCCTCCTCTTTTTCACGTGGGCTTCATGGCAAATTCTGAATTGTGATGTTTGTTTATTTTCATCTTTAAAACCCCCTTTACTTTTGCTCTGCCTACAGTTTTGTTTAGTTGTTGCGCTCCTTGTTTGCCCTTTTGTTTTATTCATTTCTTTACGTGTTACCGACATTACACGGCAGTCTGGCCAAGGCTAGTTTTATTTTGCCCGTTGTATTTAATTTTGTTTGCTTTTTCTTTCCCGATCTTTATTATAAAAGCTGTTTATTTATTATTGCCTTGAATTTATTCTTGGATTTTATTATCGATGTTTTGTCGCTTTTAGGCTTAGTTTTGACTGCCCATTTTTCTTTTTAGGCCTTACAACGGGCATGACAGTTTCCTCGAAGTGCCCAAGGCACCTCAGTCGAGTCATTGATACAGAGAATTTCATATTATGGTGGCAGAAGAGTTGAGGACTTCGACAGTACAAAGCGCTCACGCCAAGAATTAGCTTCTGTTGCAAAGTCCTCCAGTCACCCCAAGGCCGCCAGCTATGATGTTATCGCTCGACTTTTGAGAGAGAAGCTCCACGTCCCAGCTGAGCAGTTCAAGGCGATTTCTTGCTTTGTTAGCTGACAAGGATTTTTCCCTGTTATCGAAACGATCTCAAGGTTGACAAGTTTTCCAGCGGTCCACACCATTTCGCACACAGACGCTGGAGGAAGTTTGCCATATCGGCAACCGTATTTTCAAACCTATCGGCCACCCTCTCGCGCTATTTGTTACAAATGTGGTGAACCAGGGCATAGGTCACCCCAGTGTTGGAAGGCTCCTTCTCGCCAGCCTTCTTCTGCTGCTCAGCCTCGATTTAACCATCCTTCAACATAATTTTGTTGTATCATCTTATGCAATAAAGATTTTTCTTTAGCGATTGTGTGCATTGTTTTACTTGTTTATGTTTCTTTTTATTTTTTGTTATTTCAAGTTACCGCCTTTAATCCTTCACCTTTTATCCCTTAATACCGACTTTCACATTTTTATATATTTTATTTTGCCCACTCGCTATAGTGTCCTCCACTTTCGCTGTATTGTTGTCCACTCGCTATATTGTTCTCGCTCCTCTTTCTTCTTCCCTCGGTGGCATTCTCAAGGGGAACGAATGTTCCTCTCGGATTACCGGGGCTGAGTTTGCCATTCCCTGGCCCACCTATTCTTTCTTCTGTTCTAGTTTTTCAAGACGCCTTTTCTTCATGATGAAAAGACCTCAACTTGATCCTGCCAAGATTTCTGTTAACCGCCAATGCTGGGTCAATTATAAGGGATCTTTCCTCACTGGAGGCCCAGGAAATGGCAGACAACGCCCATATTAGTCAAGATTTCATCTCCTCAGTTATCAAGGGAGAAGCGCCTGTCGACGCCTTTTGGCCTTCCGTGACTCAAGTTCCTTTAGAGCGGGTGAACCCATCGCCATATAGATCATGACATGTTATTTCAACTGCCTGATAACAATTCTCTGAAGTACTGGACTGATCTACAACTTTATCCACGTTGACAAGTTTTTTTACCCATTATAAAGGAAGCTATAAGGGAGTCAATTATAACTGCGACAGGACCCGCCTGCTCGCATTTTTGCTAATCATCCTTCTTGTAAGGCGCTTGCCCAGTTTATTTTGATACCTATCGAGAGATTAGCTTCAGGCGCCATCCCCCTGGGGCAAGGTAGGGGGAATGTCCACCTCCACACCTGGTCATGCCGCCACAGTAGAACCTACCAAACCACGCCTTTGTAATGACTTACAGATTTCTCAACCTTGGACTCAAGACCGCCCTTTTAAATTGGACAGTGTTCAGCACTTACCCCAGTATGTTCTCCTGGCTTCTTTCAAACTGTCTGCAATGACAAACCGTTGCCACCATATCCAACTCTCAGTGGACAGCCGACATATTTTTGATTAAACTAGGGCGATGGTTTTTGTCGTTGTTGTATTCCACGGTTGGAAACGTCCGCCACATTTATCACTCCACTGGCCTCCTTGCCTCTCGTATTATCTACACGGTCGCTATATTCCATCTCGCTGTACATCACGCATCGTACAGTAGTCTTTCTTTTCCCCTAATGGTTGTCTTCCGTTGCTTATCAAAATTTGCCCTCCCAGGATAGCACATTTGGCTTTAGCCAACGCTGCTATCTTTCTTACGTGTTTTATCCTTTCCCCCTGGGTTATTTTATTGGTTTGGATAAATCGATTTTGGTACCTTGCAAAGCAAGTCCCTTACTTGGTTTTATTTTCCGCCCGAGAAACACTGCCATTTTCGCTTGTTCTCGGATTCTTCCTCTTTGCTTTGGAGGTGTATTGAGTCCGGTGCCATTACTGTTAGCTTTTCCGACTACTGGGATTCTTCTGTTATTGGGGCCCATTGTTACAAAGAAAACTCTTGCCCTCAACAATGCCTACAATCCTTTGGGAATGGTCAGAAACTCATGGGTGGATGCATTTGTTGACAGTCAGTTTTGCTTCACTCTTTGAACAGGTGTGGTTGGTTCCCACTCTTTGGTGACCGCCTTAAGTGCTTGTTTCAAACTACCATGCATCTTAACGTTGATCTGCATGTCTACTATGTTCCTGGCCCTGAGAACCCTGCGATTTCTCCCTCCGGCTAAGCACCAGGACTCTACATCGGCTAGTCCAAAAAACGGGATTTGGGTCCAAAGTCTGTATGGCCGGTCCTAAAGGTCACTCCGTTGATCTTATGGCACGAGCTTCAAAATGTCCAAACTGACCTATCCGCAAACCTCTACCATTTTTTTCTGAAAGTCCTTTAGTTAATGCTTTGGGGGTTAATGTGTTTGCAATAATCCCTAACTTGTATCGACCTGAGATTTTTCGAATTCTTACGTTTTCCGCCCATTTGCCTTATTCCCAAGGTCTCTAAGTATCTTAATAGCCTTAAGTTGCCATACACCCTTGTTGTCCCAGACGTGATCCCACAGTGCTTTTTGGTGGCCTTTGCTTCTGTCTGCATGCTCTTCCAGCTCATGCTAGCCTCTAAAGGGGCTAGTGGCGTTCTTCTCACCTTCCAGGGATGGTATCTTGGGTGACAGGCCGATCCCCTGGGACCTTTGGGTTTTCCGGATTTCAAATAATTAGACTCGCAGTATTTCATACTGTTTAAGGATTATCAAGCAAGCAAATCCATTTTGCTGTTGCATTTGATGTGTTTCTGTCATTAAGATGTAATTTCAATAAAGTCATCGAGTCTTGTACTTTTCGTCTCTCCTTGATTTTATTTAGTTATTTTCAACTATATTTGGTATTTATTCTCATTTAGTCTTTCATCTGTCTTCCCTATTAGGATCTCCCACTATATTCACATCATTTTAATTCTACTTGCTTGTTGAATAGGTTGATTTTTACAACAGAATTAAAAAGGACCTATTGAAATTTCAGGTATGTGGAACTGAATACAAGGTTTAGTGGAGGATACAAGTGCTACAATGAAACCATTCCAAAGTACATCCAAGACAAACCACGCCAATTTCTAAAACACTGTTGGGAAAGGATCACAACCGCCAAAGACATCAGGCCAGAATTTATCAAAGACGGAGAGAAAAGAGGAGAGTTTGTCATTCAAATGTCACCTTCCAATGTGACAGCAAATTTTCAGTGCACGTGAAGAACAAACTTATTAAAGCTAACAAATCCCTACATATCCTTAGAACGCTGCGCAAAGAAGGGTACAATCAGTCAGAAATAGACCTTCTCTTTAATACTATAGTTCTACCTAAGATTAATTACGCATTATCTGTCTACGCCGCGTCCGAGTCCGATCTTACACCCGTACAATGTTTCTTAGACCGCTGTTTTAAAACGAAATATACGTCTAAGCCTGTAAGTGTTTATGATTTCTTAGAGAGGCAAGACCGTAAAATTTTCAAAAAAGTTTTTAATGCCAAAGGACATCCACTTTTATCTATTATGCCTCGTGTTAAACCCTCCAGCTACAATCTTAGAAAAGAAACCAGTTTTAAACCTAAGATTAACACTATGCGCTTTAAAAACTCTTTTATTAATCGTTTAGTTTTTAAATATGAATTAGCTATGTAATATACTAGCTATATATACCGGTATATATTTTTTATTTCTTACTTTTTAACTTTTTAAATTTCTTACACTTACTTGTAACAAAAGATATGTATTTTTATCTCTTGATGAATAAAGACTTTATTTATATTTATTTATTATTTATTCAATCAACCCAGACTAAGAACACCTGGTATAATTTATCCTTTGGTGGAACTGATAGCATGCCACGATGCAGCTGCCCAGATTTTAGCCGTACTGGTTTCCTTTGTAAACACTTCTTTGCTGTTTTTGAGCACAGGGATGACGGGAAATGGGATGCTCTACCTAAAAGCTATAGAGAAAACCCATATCTCTGTCTTGATGACACCATCGTGTTTGGTACTATCCAGAATAATGACACCATAAGTGAGGAAACAGATGACCCTCCTTACCTTGCCACACACTGTGAAAAAGAAAAGCGTTCAGTCCAGACATCAGAGAAGGAAATAACACAAGAAACAGCCAAATGCAGGGAGGTGCTAAAACAACTGTCATGCCTGACTTACAATATTGGTGATGTGGAGGTCCTGAAAGAGCTTGGAAGCTCCCTACAAGCATTACATAGGAAGTTCTCTTCTTACCACCCAACAGATGACAAGGTGGAGACCACACCCTTTACAGAGAAGAAAAGAAAAAATGAGGAAAATGTTGAGAAAAAACAAAAAAATACCTACCTCTACCAGTACGACGAAAAAGAAACCCATTTACCAACAGAGTTGGCAAGCAAGCCTCCACCATGCGTAGCCAATATTTTGTCCATGTGCCAGTGAATGGTAACACCTTCACAAAGAAATCTAACAACAAGAAGAAAAAGAACCTCAGAAAAAGGCAAGAAAAACAACAAGTAATCAACTCAACAGAAAAAGGAAACCAGTGCACACACCAATCAACAAGTATGTCCAGAATGATTGCAAGAAGAGGAAATTTGAGCCATCAGAAGAAACTAATGACTTGACCATCCAGACCAAATCTAGGGCAAGTTGTCCACAACTGGTTATAAACAAAGGGCAACCAGAACCAGAAGGCAGCAAATTAAATCTTGACAACAAAGACTTGGCATTGGAAACTGAGGATGGGCCAATTTCAAGTGGCAAAACTCAACAACAAGGAAAGGGCTTGTCATCTAACCCCATAGTAATTGATGAAACAAGTCCTTATCCAGATTACCGGATAAATTGCAATATTGATGACGAGACAACAATCACACTCTACGCAGAAAGTAAGAAAAGAATCCTGCAGTCTAACTACTGGCTTGCTGATTCTGAGATCCATGCTGGTCAAAAACTTCTCAAGAAACGACATTCCTTTATTAGTGGTTTTCATTCCCCATAAATTTGAGGTGACTTAGTTATACTAGAGCCATCTGAATTTATTCAGATTATAAATACGGGTGGTTCTCACTGGGTTTGTCTATCAACCATTGGCTTTCCATCAGGAACTGCTACGTTGTACAATAGTATAAGATCCAGCTGCCCAAACAAAGTTGTCCTTGCACATGCATTAAGAATGCTTTTCACAAAGGAGCAGTCAATTACATTTGTTATTCCACCTGTCCAAGAACAGATTGGACCAAATGACTGTGGCCTTTTTGCACTGGCTTTTGCGACATCACTTTGTCAAGGGATGCCTCCAGAAGAAAGGGAGTATGATCAAGCTTTAACGAGACGGCATTATGTGGATTGTTTGGAACAACTTGCCATTAAACCCTTCCCAGGTTGCCAGAGACTACTTATTCTAAATGAAAAGATGGTAGTGTATGAAGTGAAGGTGTTTTGCAGTTGCCGTATGCCAAGAATGATACCACCCAGCTTGCGAAAATATTCCTAGTTCAGCAATGAAGAAAAAAAGCAAGTGGTACTGCAGCACGTGCCAGAGATCAAAGCCAGCTTGAACTGAGAACAACCAACATGAATAATTAACCTTTAAAGATAAAAATGCTAAAAGACTAAAATTATTATAACATTTTATTATTTTGTGCAACATTATTATTAGGATAAATAGATCTCATTCTTTTTAACGTTTGCTCTTAATGACTAGCAAATCACAGTTAAGAATAAAAATATTCTGATCTTCAGGGTATATGTTTTACGTATTCCTGTTCAGATTGGAAATTTCTGGCAAGAGTGTATGGCCTTAACTCAGCAACTGGAAAGTATTTCTGCATATGGTGCTCCCGTACAAAGGCAAAAATCTGTGATTTTTCAAGTAAGTTGTAAGGCCAAACATACAATAATGCTTTAGAACTTTTTTTTGTTTTTTTTTCATACCTGGTAAATTGTCATGCTAAAATTGTGTTTAAGTTACTTTTAGTACAAGACTGGCCTATTGAAAGGACTTTAGAACAGTGCGAGAGAAGCTGCTCTGGAAAGACAACTGATTCAAGAAAAGGATCAATTCTCAAGCCACTGCTCTCAATCCCTTTTGACCAAGTTATCATCGATACTGCATCTTTTTCTGAGGATTATGGGACTACTCTTCCATCAGGTAAATATGCATTTTATACAAAAGAATACAATGATTCTCTGTTTATGTGGTTTATATGAACTGCTAGCATTAAATGATTACATGTAGGTAACTGCTGGTAATAATATTCTTTTTGAAGAAAAAGGAAAATGATTAAAAGGTCAATAGTGCCTTAAAGTGTCCACCTTGCGCTTGTGTTTCAACCTCAGTCATGTTACTTTTCTTTTCTTGAGTTTGTGATAAACAAGAAAAGAAAGGAGATCCTGGAAGCAGAAATTGACAAGATTGGTGTTCCTTTCAAATTTTATGAAGTTCAGTGTGATGATGGACCATCACAAACCCAAAGGACAAGACTATAGATGGTAATTATTATTATTAAGTTCATTATATAAAAAGTAAAGTACCAAATGCACATTTCTTAAGGGTGTTGTTTTCATTTTAGGAAAGGATCTTCGAAATATACTAGACTTAAGGCCCATCTTTGAAGGAATTCCAGCTGAACGAATGCTGACCTACAAGAATGTTAAGAAGTTATGGAAGGTACTGACTGAACACTCTTCTTTTAGCCATTCTATTTTTATAATACAGCTGTATAGCATATCTCATCATCAGGACTGATAGTAGTCTTTTCCAATAGGGATTTAGTGAACTTGTTAAAGCCTTGGTAGCACAACCTGAACATGAGGACTATAAGACACCAGAACTATTCAAAGACTAAGCTAGAAAATGGGCAATGTTCTTTACAGTTGTTTTCTTTGAAATATACCTCTTACACATTTTCTTTGTTAGAGTTGACATTTACGTTATCACTTTCTCATAGTAAAGGAAAGTTTCCTAATGAGATATTTTGTGATTTCATTTTAGGATGTGACACCTTACATACCGTAATTATTCGAATAAGCGCCCAACCTCGAATTAGTGCCCACCTCGAATAAGTGCCCATCCCAAAGGCAGAAAAAGTTAATAAGCGCCCATCCTTGAATAAGCGCCCACTCCCTCCTCCCCCAAATCAAACTCAAATAAGCGCTCACCCCCATTCCAGCCACTTTAATGAATAAATTCTAATAAGAGACTTCCCCAAGAACAGAGTTTTCTTCAGAGTATTTTACAGAAACCTTGCTTTGTTACTTCTTCGCGTTTGATTATTAGCATTTATTGTTTTGTTGCAAAATAAACATACTTCACTTGCTGAAAATGGTGAAAATTTAATAAGTGCCCAGCCTCGAATAAGCGCCCAGGGCGGTCAATCGAATAAATACAGTACATGGTAAGTTTTCTGTCTTATTACTCTTATTACGTATTATTTTGCTAATTAAGCAAGCAATAGTAATAGTAACTACATATTGGGTGACTTAAACAAGAAAAATTAATTTTAGTGGACATCTTAAAATGATACAGTTATTGATGCCATGGTGGACATTTTATTTCACAGCACCAGTTTACCATGTTCCTCAGTTCCTGAAAAAAAGTGGAAGCATTTCGCTCTTCAACTGCCAACCAGTGGAGAAAAAAAATCACGAGCAGTTAAGGATGTTTCACCGTGCAACAAAGAAGGGAGGTCGCAACTCAAGTTACACTACACAAGTCATGGAAAAAGAGAACTGTAAGATCTATGCAAGAGTAAATAGGCTTTCTAGAACAAAAAGAAGCTATCAGAAAAAAGAACCGGATTTAGATGACTCACCAGGAAGCCTTAACATGTACAGCCACCAAAATCAAGAGGAAGGATAGTGATAAAGATATGAGATTAGACTAATATGGTATTATGGCAGTTTTTAGTTAAGGTAACATTAATTTTAACTCCTATTCTAAGTGCACACATGAAAATGCATTAATTATAAGTAACTAGAATTTCAATTTTTTATTTCAGGGGTGGGTGTCACTTGGACAACACGCATGTCCCCACATGTACTATGTTTAGATTATAATAATTAATCTCAAATCAACAAATAATATTAAAATTTCAATTTGATGTTTAAGGAGTGGGTGTCACTTGGACAACCCACAAGCCTCTATACTAAGTTCAGATTAGAACTGATCTCAAAGTTGTAGGTAAAGCAACTTAGTAGAATTTCCATTTGTTATTTTAGGGGCGGGTGTCACTTAGATAACCCACATGTCCCCACATGTATTAGGTTAAGATCAGAATTAATCTCAAATCAATAGGTTAAGTAATTAGAATTTAAATTCTTTATTTCAGGGGTGGGTGTCACTTGGACAACCCACATGTCACCACATGTACTAGGTTTAGGTTAGAAGTAATCTCCAATCAGTAAACAATATTAGAATTTCAATTTGATATTTAAGTAGTGGGTGTCACTTGGACAACCCACATGTCCCCGCATGTATTAGGTTAAGATCAGAATTAATCTCAAATCAATAGGTTAAGTAATTAGAATTTAAATTCTTTATTTCAGGGGTGGGTGTCACTTGGACAACCCACATGTCACCACATGTACTAGGTTTAGGTTAGAAATAATCTCAAATCAGTAAACAATATTAGAATTTCAATTTGATATTTAAGTAGTGGGTGTCACTTGGACAACCCACAAGCCTCTATAAGTACTAGGTTTAAATTAGAATTAATCTCAAATCAATAGGATAAGTAACTGGAATTTCAACTTGTTATGTCAGGAGCAGGTGTCACTTGGACAACTCACATGTCACCGCATGTAAATAAGGACAATATTGTATTATCTGTCAAGTGTCAGCATAACAGTGTCTGTATTTATTCGATTAAGTGCCTATCCCCAAATTACAGCCCAATGTCTTGGAAGGAAAATTTAACAAGTGCCCAGCAGTAAACAAAAAGCACAGTAATTAGCACACAGCCTGGAAAAAGCGCCCAGGGAGCGTAATCAAATAAATATGGTACACCTACCCCAACCTTAACTTCCCTGTTGACTTTGAAATTTTCCTAACCCTAAGGAGAACGCTCTTTCCCCCAAGCCCTCAGAAAAAAAATTCCTTGATGAATACTCTTGGTTTTTACACGACGTCACCAAAATTCAAACTAAGAAACTATCGCTTCTTCTGAGTTTCTACTATCATGGGATACTAGAGCACCTTAAAACCTTTATACAAACAAATTTTCGGTTCAAAAGGGTTCTTTGTTTTGCGATACAGGACGCTTGAATTTCCAGGCTTTTGCGTGACGTGGCATTTAGCTGGCGGCCGGGAAAGCTCGTATGTGGGTTAAAAACATTACGGATTTTTGGAGATTTTGCGATCTAAACATTCCTTGTCTTAGAATAAATATTACTATAATCTTTATGAGTTCCTCAAGCGAAGAATTCATGCATAAGTAGGAAAAATCCTGACAATTGACACCAATAGTACATTTTATATCCAATGGTTTCTTAAAGGGAGATAAATAAAAACGTAATATAAACACCGATGTCAAATTACGAAGTGAGTTTATGGATCTAAGGCGTTTTTTTCTATCAATAAGCTTATCTCAATTTCTCAATTATATTATGCACTGTCTTCATTTAATTACCTACAACTTTCAACCGCTTATTTTAATGCCTCGGTCGCACAGATCAATAAAAATCTCTAATTTACTTAAAGAACTGCTGAAAATGTACAAATCGTCCAAGAATCAACGGGCACGATCCATTCAACCACAAATTCCGAAAATTTTGGTCAGAAATGTCAACGGATTGGTTTCGGTCCAACCGGAAAAGTTTCGAAAAAACACCTTTTGGGGTGGACCACTTTTCCCAGTCGGACCGGTCTGATCGAAAAATGACCGTTCCATTCGACCATTCCGACTCATTCTTATTCCCAGTGGCGGCTTCAGTCTATCGGTGAAGCTTTTGTGATGTAGCTGTACCCAGCCTAGAAAATTTGCTATCCCACGACTGTCAAGCTACTACGGGTAAGTGTTTGGTGTATTTATTTGTTGCTTTTGCAGAAAAAAAAAACTCATCCAAGTAAAAAGTCAGTCTGTGTTCGCGTCTCGAATGCAACCATTCCCACCAAAACCAATCATGGCTGCCAACACGGCCGCAAGCATGCGCAAAAAACACAACAAGAGATTAAAACTAGCGGCAGAACATAGGAAATAAGGGAGAAATATTTTACTTTCCGGTTTACCGTAATTTTAACTCAAATGGCCACTTTCCCCTGCATAAAAATTAAAAAAACAATGATCAAACTACCGTAATGATTCGATTTAGCGCCCTCCTTCCAATAAGCGCCCACCTTCGAATGTGTTTTTGTTAATAAGCGCCCCCTATTCTAATATTATTACAGCGCCCTCAGAGTACGTATCAAACGTGGTTTATCTTCCTTTAATAGCTGACATACGTAATAATGTATTACAAAAACAGTGGTCTTCGTCTGAGTTTCTCAACTGTAATGTCCATGTGAGTACATAATTCTCGCCCCATGTAAGGGAATCCAGGACAGTCTTGGATTCTGGATTCCATGCTGTGGATTCCGGATTCCGGGTACTGGATTCCGGATTCCAGCACAGTGGATTCCGGATTCCAAAAAGAGCTGGATTCCATTTTTTTACCGGTTTTAATGCTTTTCTTCGCACTTCGTTTTCGTGTTCGAATCTTGCTATATTGAAAGACGTTGGTAGAAGGCATAACAAGTTTTTTTTCTTTTTCGATTTACAAAATTACGGAAAGAAATGCATTACAGTTCCGTAAGGGTTTATGGTATAATAATGAGGGGGACATTGGGGGACTGTCTTTACTGCAACACCGCAGAAAAAAATAACAAACATCGCAGTTTTGTCCTACGATTAATCTAATCCAAATCTCCATGTAATTGGGAATGGAGGATCTCGGAGCTGGTTAGTGATTAGTAGAGAGTGAGACTGACCTCAGGACTCTATTTTTCAGTTAATCTACTTTTGTGAACGCTATTTTCAGCCATGCAGATAGAAAAATGTATGCAACGCCCAGATTTCGCCTGTTATCCTTTTGTTTTGAAGTGTTTTTGTATAAAAAGACCATACAGATCATCCTTCGCTCCGGGTATATGAAAAAGCAGTGAAATATTGATTATTTAATCAATTTTAACCGACGTTCCTAGGAGGGTGGAACTTGTTTTGGCTTGTTTTGGGTCGTTGTGGATCTTTTGTCGATTAGTTTTGATCGTTGTGGATTGTTTAGGTCGTTTTGGCTCTTTTTGCCTGGTTTCTCGTTTTAGTAGTAACTGGCCAAATAAAAATACGCTGTGGCGTGTGCAATTCATTCTTTGCAAAGTATTTGGTTCTGTTCACTAAAGAGTAGTTTTCCGTCTCAATAAAACTTGGAAAACCATTTTTATCTTATCTTTTAAGACTTTTTAAAACTCTGTCTCCGTGTCAATAAAGATTTTTGAGGGTATAAAATTCTCGCGTAGAAGTTGACGCGTACTGTGTTGAGGTTTTACCGCGGGCAATGATAATGAAATTCAAACTAACTGTCGAGTTGAATTTGATGTTAAAAAGAACCAAAACAACAAAAATTTAGTTGTTTCATACTAAAGATGTTCCTAGAACCACATTTTGTTACAAAAAAACTTCACAGCTCTATCAAATTTGTTGTTTAACACGTCGAAATTTGAGGATTTATTTCGAACATGCGCTCTTTCATCGCCTGTCACATTCCTGACAATAAACAAATGCGTCATACAACTTGGCTAGCTCAGCGAAATGAAGTGAGATTGACATCAATCGGCTATGCTTGGTTGAGTTTGTGTGCAAATTCTGCTCAAAGGTCGAAGCTCCTGTGGACATAAATTTAGCACAGTGAGCGATAGCTGTTCATTCAGCTCGAGCAATTGTACAGTACTTATTAAGAGCAAGACTTGTGAACGAGAGAATGGAAAATCAAGCCTTGGACAGTCAAATTGAACGTATAAGTAATTCCTTGTAACAAGAGTTATAATAACCACGTCGCCCCATTGGCTGTTAGAAAGACTAGTGGGAAAATTCAACGGTAGCGAACTGTCTAGAAGGGTGGCGCGCTAAAATAGACGAGACTTAAGGGATAACCACCTCGCCCCATTGGCTGTTAGAAAGACTAGTGGGAAAATTCAACTGTAGCGAACTGTCTTGAAGCGTGGCAAACTAACATGAACGAGACTTAAGGGATAACCACCTCGCCCTATTGGCATTTACTCATGTCTGGAGTCAATCTGCCCGTCATGTACCTTTAAATGAGTGGCTTAGTAATCAAGAGTACAAACACGCCTTTTTAGAAGATTTAGCGCGGAAATTAAATTCAGCGGAGGTCGTGGATCCAGAAAGAGATGGTTTCTTTGCGGAACCCACATTTGTGAAAAGGCTGGGGCGTGGTGGAGCTTTTGAACGTAACAACCCTGAATGAATTGCCTGGGAAAAAATCGCAAAGAAAAAGAAATGTATCATAAGAATCCCAAACAAAGACGACTTGTGTTGCGCAAGAGCAATCATCACCATGAAAGAAAGAGTGGATAAGGGGTCCCATTACCAAAATCTGAGATGTAGAAGACCGATTCAAGAACGTTGGGCCTGTCTCCTCCATCAAGAAGCGGGTGTTCCCGAAGGCCCCTGCGGATTCGAGGAACTGCAAAAATTCCAAGATTAACTCGGACCACAGGGCTATCAGCTCATCGTGGTTGAACTTTCAAAATGTTTAATCGTTTTCAAAGCACAGTATAATCAAGCCCCTCATTTCATTGGTCTTGTAAACATCAATGACATTTTGATGGACTCAGAAGTATTCCTGCCCTTATGAATCGATCGTATTATTGTCGTCTTTGCGATAGAGGTTTCAATACACAGGACGCCAAACACCATAACTACGAAGGGCAGAATTGCAATGCCTGTACTAGAACCAACAAAACATGTCCTAATTTTGCTGCCTGGATCAAACCCACCCTTAATTGTCCAGACTGTAATGTCATGTTTTACGGACAAAACTGTTTTGAGGCTCACAAAGCCAAAGGTCCAAACCAATGGTCAGTTGCTAAGGAAAATGCTCCCGTTTGTGCGGGCGCAAAATCGTCAGCGGTATTACCATTGTCGAACTCTGCCTAAGAAGCAGTAAAAAACATGGCGGCTGATCTTCGAGAAATTGTTATTGATTTGACAGGAAATACTGAAAATACGGAAAGGGAGAAAAAGTTTTGGAATGTAAACGAGGTGGAAATGAAATCTACTTTTGAGCGGGAGTGGATAAAGGCGATCAGGAGAGCGAGACGCCGACCGAATTACGGCATGGGAAACATGAATAGTGGACTGGAGGAAATATGTGGGAACAAGCTTGAGCTGACCGGCCCGTTAATTGACAGTTACCTTTTGGAGATCGGTAATCAAGTATCTGCGAAGTTAACCCGATCAAAGGCAACATCTCTGGCTAGCCCTGTTATCCTTTTTGTACCTTGGCCTGTATTTCGCCACATTACAGTGCTGTTTAGAGGATACGGCACTGAAGTGACCTTCGATAATCGAAAATCGAAGGTGATCTCTACGTTCAACCTCCTTGAAACGGCGGAAAAGATATTTTCGCCGGCTCATTTTGAAGGACAAGATGTCCTAAGGAAGCGACATTTCAGTGGCCAACCTGACAAAAACGGCAAAATGAGATCTGTTTACAAAGGCAGATCGGCTGTGGCTATTTCCCAAACAACTCCTTTTTGTTTTGATTATAATCTTATAAATCAAAAGGTCACTGTCACATTCTACATTTAGCGGTACACAGCACAGGATTTTGTGATTGATTCTAGCCTACAAAGTCTTACGAGTCAGAGAGTTAACTTTACTTATAGTAACCTCTTTTGTATCAGCTTTTAGAAACCATCCTTTTTTTACTTTTACCTTTGGTACAAGGGTGGCGCAGTGGTGACAGCATTCGGTTCCCATCAATGTGACCTGGGTTCACATGAATCCCAGCAAAAAAGCTATATGTGGGTTGAGTTTGTTCTTGCTTTTGTTCATTGCACTGAGAGGTTTTTTCTGGGTTTTCAAACACTTGCAAATAATTAATTCCAATTTTTCTTTACAGTAGAACTGGAATGCATGGACTCATTCTACCGAGTTCTTAATATCTCCTAATTGCTCCATTGTTAAACAAATTTCCTCATTATTGATCTTTCCAAGATTTCAACTTGTGCCATCTTACATAAACGACATGGGTCTGGAACCCTTCTATACAAGGGGTGATGGCAACTGCCTTTACAACTCACTAGCAGTAATTATGGATCACAGAGAAGAATCTTCCAAGGCTTAAAGACTCGGTTCTACCTTGTTTGGCTTTGCTCATTACGAGCACATTGTTTAGGTGGTAAGTACACCAAATATAAGATTGTTTTATTACTTGTTCAGCTCAGTTTTATCGCATAGTTTTTAATATATACTCCTGTTGATCCCCGCAGTTTGTTGGAGGTTGTTAAATGGCGCTGTTAACAGATGCAATAAAAAAATGACTGTCGGTGATAAATAATGCTATTTATTACCTCGTAATTGTATTATCAACCTCATCCTTGTTGTTTTCCTTGTATTTAATATTTCAAATAAATTATTGCTTGAGTGATTATCCTTTTCAGAATGAAGATCGTTTTTCCCACAAAGACGATGCTCTGCAATGGGCGGCTTGTGTGAGCCTGTCTGTGAGCGGGCAGATGGCAGCATACATGAACTTAGACCGATGACTCAACCGAAGTCAAATGGAAAATTTTTTTTCTTTTGATTATGTTATAAAAGAAATGGTAAACGTTGCAGCTGTGCAACCATGGAGTTATGGATGCACTTGGGAGGTTTGCTAAGTATTCAAGAAGCTAGAGTCGCACGAGGCGTGCTTCTTTCGTGCTTAGCAACCTCCCAAGTGCATCCATAACTTCATAGTTGCACGCTGCACGTTTACCATTTCTTAAATTGAAAAACAATCTCTTATCCATGACACCAGGGCATCGCTGAAGGAGGCCAAAATTATGTAAGTTATTACACACAAAAGCATTCCTATAATAATAGGCGTACAGCTTGTAACAGAGCCTGTATCCTTAATTATTGAGCTTAAAGGGAGATACTAGCTCTCTCTCTCTCTCGAGCTATTCTAAATCCGAGTTCAAATAAAGTTATATATATGTATGTATGTACGACTAGCAGCAGATAAACTGAAGATTTCATCTACTATAAAAGTGCTCAATGGTAAAACCAGAGCTGTGAATATAATTAAGATTTCTGGAGCAGGACTAATTCAAACACATTTTATTTATTTACTTATGTATCTATGTATGTAAAGGAGAGCATGACACATCAGTGACCATAAACAAGCTACTCTCTAATGAGAAAGATAATGAAACAGTCAACATTTTACAAACTGAAGTTCTTAATGGTTCTCCTTGAAGCAAAGCCAGTGACATATTCTCCCTTGGTAAAATACTCTATAAGATAGGGCTCAAAAATGACATTCCACTTCTGATTGCCACTGCTGAAAAATGTCTGGATACAAACCCTACTGGGAGACCAACAACAATACATATTATGCCAACACTGGTTTCTATGGTAGATGCTAATTTATAAGTCAGCACAATCAAAGCCTTCTTACAACACTTTTCTTTGGTAAGGTGATTAAAAGCCAAAAATACTAAACCCATAATAGAGTACCCAAAATAAACACTTAGTGAGTTGGGAAGGAATTGGTGGCAAGGGCAACCATGCCTGCTATTAAGATGCCTCATCTTTCATTAGCAGGACTGCAAAGATGTCTCATCTTTTGCCAGTTCGTGCATGCTCCTGTCACAGCTGATTTTAAGCTTCCCAGTTGCAAAAAAAATATCTCGCATTTTTTTTGGTTGTTAACACCAATAACAGCAAAAAAGAAGAAAATGTGATAAATAAGATGCAAAAAAGAATGCTTTGGATAAAAATGCTGGTATAAAACTTATTTATGCATAGTCACAGAATTATACAAAGCCATGAACAGGTTTAGGGAGTATAATAATCATTCTCCACTTCATACAATAAATAAGAATGACACGATTATTAAATGAACAAAATCTACCATGGTTCATCTACAAAGGGACTTTCCATCGATAGTTTTTGTGGGTTCATCTGAAAAGAGGTATTAGCTTGAGTGCCGGAAACTGTTGACAGTACTATTTGAGTATTATCGTATTTTAAATTAGTGTTATTGAATCTGTCAAGAGCTCTATTAGTGAGACACGGAAGTTGTAGTTGGCGCAAGATAAGAAAAGAATCTCGTGACATAATTGAAACATTCCGGTATAGGGCACATTGACAGGTTTTCTGATAGATAAGTGAAATAATGTAGACACGGCATTATATATCTTTCGAGAACAAAATTTTACTTTAGTGAGAAATTCTTGGGTCGTGTAACCAACCAATAAATTAGACACCCGGAACATCGTGTGTTTTTCCGTTTTTAAGACCTGGCACCTCCGACAAATGGACTGTGAGTGATACAGACTAACACTTAAGTAATTTTTCAAGATGGGAAAGATGATCAGTGAACTCACTGGAAAACTCAAAACCTCGAGTTTTCGAAGAAAGAAGACCGATGAAATTATCACCAAGGGTAACAAAGAAGCCTTAGAGGGGTTCCAAGCTTCAGTCGCTAATATCACAGAAGCAGTAAGCACACAAAAGGAGAATATCGAGGATTAGAAATTTAATAAGGGAGAATCAAAGGAAAACATGACTAGAAATCTTGGACACGCACGCGCAGCTAACGCGGCCACATTAAGCAAAAGAGAGTCACGTAACGCCTCACGACGTGGAGACTTTACTGAGAAAACAGATTTATAATCCTGCTTACCTCCTTTCTCCAGTCCATAGTCCTAAATGTTCACTAACTGCCGAGACCCAAACTGTTCTTAGAAAATTGTCAGCTTCCATGTCGTAATTGTTGCGTTTTACAGGTATAATGATATGGATGATGCTATATAGCAACAGTATGGAGGCAGTGCGAGAACAACATCACCAGCTCTTCCTAGATGTCCTTTTGCCTAAAACCTTAAGAGTGTAACAACTTTGTTCACTGTGATTATTAACTATTGAAGCCACATTTTAAGACGCAGTGAGTCACACTTCTCAGGACTTTATATCCATTGCGTTTTTAGGTCTTGTTTCTCTGAAAATTTCATGTTTTCTGGTAGACGAAATATATTCCTGCAAAACCTTGCAGCGAAATCCACACGCAAAGTAGTACACCTCTTTCCTATTTCCTTGATCGGCCATGTCGATTTTCATCTATTTTCTCCCTGGGTAGCCTGGCTTTCTAGCTTCCAGTCTAGCTTAAAATCTATTTACCCCCCAAAAATGGGGAAGCTGAGACCGGGCTTTTTGTCTCCCTTTGGCATGAAACTGCAGCGCAAAAATCAAAACAAAGAATCAGAACTGAACACAGTCAACCGCAAATTTATCGGTATTGGCCATTTGGCAAACACTCAAAGAATTTATTTTAAAAATGCCCGACAAAACGTATTACAAGAGGAGGTAAATGTGCTCATAAATGGAAGAGTTTCTTCACCACATATTGACTACAAACATTTCGACTATGTTGTTGAACAAGCAATTGCTGGTGATCAAGTTGTCTACAGGATGGCTATCCGAAACAACATACTGTTGCAGTGGGCAAGTTTAAAGCACTCCGAGAAATACCACATTGACTTGCTTAACGACATTATACCAGGAACTGCTGTAAGAATAATTCTTAATTAATTATTAAAAGAGATTCAAAACGAGTAAAAGAACGCTTGCCCATTACCATCATTTGTCTAACATGGAGCTTAAGGAAAAAAAAAAAACAGATCCGGCACAAAAGAGTAGAGAAATGAAATTTTAAAGGGCTGGACAAACCTCAGCATTTTGGCTGGCGACATAATGAATTCTGGGGAGATGGAAGAAGAAATAAAGAGACTTGAAGCAAAAGCCACATATTTAATGGACAGGTTGCAGATGTGTTATGTTGAAGTTGAGGAATGGAGAACGAAGTATGAAAGTCTTGACGACGAAAAGTAAAAGGTTTTCGAGGAACTGACATGAGAAATCCTCAACAGCCAGGACAAGAAGAAAATTTCTAATGTGGAGGCAGAAAATGAAGAAATGGAAAAATATATAAGAAAATCAGAGAAAGAGCAAAGGGATGAAGTCGATGAGAGACAAATGTTCACTAAGGAAAAGACAACAGTTTCTAAACGACAGGCACATGAGAGGTTCGAATCTCTCTCAATCAGAGCACCGAAAGCATTATGGTTTAGAAAACAGTATGGTTTGCAACTTGATACTTTGTGCTTCAAAGACACTGAGGGAAACCAATATCCATTAATATCCTTTATTTTATTGTTCTCCTAAAGCGCGCCAACATTCCACTGAGCGACATTGCAAATTTTTACTGCACCGTGATAAGACCTGTTTTAGAGTACTGTGCGCCAGTTTTCCATCATGCGCTTCCACAGTATCTTAGTGACGACATCGAACGAGTGCAAAAGAGAGCGCTCTCCATCATTTGTCCTTATGCGTCGTATTCAGAATGTTTGGTCAGGTTCGATTTAGTAACTTTGCATGCTAGACGCATGGCTCTGTGTAGCAAACTTTTCGAGTCTATCACGTCATGCCCGGATCACAAACTTGTGCCTGTCTTACCTCCTAAGAGAGAACACAGACATAATCTAAGATAGTCCAGGGCTTATGCCATGCCCCGCACACATACAAATCGTTTTAAGAACACTTTTATTTCAAGTATGTGTACATAATTTTTTTTGGACTAGTTTGTACCTAGTTATATAGAGAGAGTTTTTCGCATTTTTATAGAAATGTTTTTTGTTATAATTTCAATTAGTATTTATAATTTTGGAATTTATTTAATCTTAGTTTTAAGTATTTGTAACGCAATTCAGTCTGCGGACTGCCATGTTCGATATTTTAATAAACTATCTATCTCTATCTCAGATTTCACTTTCCAGAAGCACATCACCTGCTCCTCCCACCACACTTCAGCAAACTCCTGGTTCTACCCTTCTACTACATCACAAGCCCCTGGTCTTTTGACACCTACCCCACCACAAGTCCCTGGTTCTACCCACTCCACCCCAACAGGAACCTCTGGTGCTGCCCCTTCTACACCACCACAAACCCCAGTTGCCGTGCCACCTGCCAATAGGTCATCTTGCGAGGCCACAGTGACTTAATTAAATGGGACACCACCATTGGGCAATCGGACCACAACACAATGCTAATGGGTGCAATTCAACACCTTGTCAGACAGTGAAAAGGAGAGAGTGGAAGCAGTACTCTTCCTGATGGATAAGTTTGCTGTGGATGATCCATTTGTACATGAGTTGAGCATGCTGATAAATGGGATGCCAAGGTCATACCTTATTAAGCAGTGCCGAGACAACCTCAATAGCAGCTGCACTGTAAAACCAACCAGTGGACCAGAGCCAGGTGCTCAAATTTTTTTCAAAGAATTTTTTTCAAAGAATCCCTTACGAGCAAGCTGAACTCTCTTGTAACTACACATTTACTTCAAAATAATGCTGTTCATTTCTGTTTTTTTCTTGAAACAAACATAAAATAATACAAAAATAAATTGCAAACATTCCCTTAATTGACAGGCAGAAAAAGAGGGAACTGTCTGCTAACAAGCCAGTCAGAGTAAAAATCAGCGGTGATGGAGCCCGCATGATAAGATTGACCAACTTTGTTATACTCACAGTCTGCTTAATGATAATGATGATCTGTTTACTACTAGAGGTAAGAAACCTTGTGTTAGGTGGCTTTTTCCATGCAAACAGCACCCTTTTACTGTTTTTTTTTCTGTGTCATATCCACACCACACTTCTTTTCTGTTATAAAAGAAAAATACTGTATATTCCATCATTTAGGTACCAACACTATCGCCATAATGAGTGGTTCTGAAAGCTAAGCATCCATCAAGGCAAATTTCAAAGATTCTTGGGATGAAATAAATAAAATGATAGCTCATGGTAAAGTCTCAATAAACTATGGACAAGAAGTACCTGTTGAAATCTGTCTTGGTGGGGATTACAAGGTAAGATATGAAGCTGTTACATGGAAGAAAAACTAAATACAGATTGCATTTTTTAGCTACCCCTTTATAACAATACTATGTAATACTTATATTACACTTACTTTCTATGAGAATAATCTAAAGCGCATTACAGTTAACATATTAAAAACTGCCGACTAATCTTAAAAGTTAAAACATAAAATCCTAACACGATTTAAAATAGTAAAAACTTTAAAACTAAAGCATTAAGTTTAACAAAAAGCCTTAGAACATAAAAAAGTCTTGACTGAACACTTAAAAGTGTTACCATTCTCTTTTCAGGCAAATTACCAGAATAGCCATGTCTTGGTACCCACAGAAGGAGGTCACTCATTATTTCATTCTAATTTGTTTCATTTTTTCAGTTTCTTTTGTTAGCTAGTGGCAGGTGACCTGCAACCTCTAACAATGCTTGTTTATGGTGCAAGATCCACAAAGATCAAAGGTTAAATGTTGTAAAATAAATACAAAAAAAAATGAAAATTTACAATCATTGAATCAAAATCTTCTTAATTACATTGATATCCTTGA